ACCTCTGAGAATTGCTTCACATGAGCTTTTGGGACTCGCCTCATATCTGAACACTGAGATGAAACCGGAGAACATTAGCATTTGATAGTTTGGAAAACTATCTCCTTCACAGGGAAGTTTTATTCTTTATCTAAAAGTTTAGAATACTTTTGAGAGTGTAACATTAGAAGAAATGCAGAAACTCATATATCTACTAAGGATATGTGGGTAGCACCTTTTGCTTCTAGAAACAAATGGATTATTAAGAAAATAAGCTTTTTGTTTTGTTTTGTTTTGTAGCAGAGATTGAACTCAGGAACACTCGATCCCTGAGCCACATCCCCAGCCCTATTTTGTATTTTATTTAGAGACAGGGTCTCACTGAGTTGCTTAGTGCCTCATCATTGCTGGGGCTGGCTTTGAACTCACAATCCTTCTGCCTCAGCCTCCCAAGCCAGTGGGATTACAGCTGTGCACTGTAGCTTCCAGAATAAGAAAATGAGTTATTTTTGTTAAATCCAAATTCTGCTTTAGTAGCAGAAGTACTCCATAAAGATTCATTAGAAGGTGATATTGATCACAGCAGGCCTTGGAGGAATGAGTCAGACATGAAAAGCGAGAAGTGATTTTATTTCTCACCTCCCCATGAGCAAGAGCTGTTTGTGATGTGAAGGTTATAACCGGGTAGGTATCAGTGATAACCAACACTGTGCTCAGGGTGGACCCCACAGTTGGTAAAGGAGGCCTTATTGGCAAACCTAGAGATGGAAAATCAGACTGGGATACCTGTAAGTTGATCATTGCCATGCTAGGTCATAATATTCCTTTTAGCCCTTAAAAACCCACTTAGGTTTACAGTTGCTATGGTAACCCCCACTCACTCTGCTGCTCCTTATCTAGAAGTTCACTTTGATATCTGTTTTTTGTCAAGAGTTTTAGGTGAGAAGTTAACTGAAACAATAATGAGGAATTTTCTGCTCACTTATATAGCTCAGGTCAACCCATATCAATTGACATGTTGGAAAACTCAGAGAGAAAGAGGGATGAAGGGCCCAGTCTTTGCAGGGCCAAGAAGGCCAACAATAAGAACTTTTAGGGTCCTGAATGATGTCATCCATAAGAAAGTCACATACATGGAACCTACTTCACTCAACATCCTGGGAGAGGCGTAAATACTTCTCAGCAATGGTGCAGCCTTCCCTTCTTTATTCACATTGCACAAGGAGGTTTGCTGTCCTCAGCCCCCAACCTCTTCCTTGTCTACCCACTCTTTGACACCACATTGAAAGCTAATAAAACCCAACAATGAGTTAGGTCAGCTCAGCTCTGTGCTTGGTATTACTTCTCAATCTGTGTCTTCAGACACTTTTTTTCATATTTAGTGCTTCATCCTCAGGTCAGAGTAAGCAGGGTGCTGCCCTAAGCAGAGATGATTTGAGAGGAAAAAAGGCATATATGCTCTGACCCTTAAACAGCAGAGTCTATTCTGTAGAGAACTGTTGACCTTCTGTGGTGGCCACTGGGATCTGATGACATCAAGACAAGGCCAAGTTGTTTCAGAAAAAATGATTGGTGAGCTCCATAGCCTTTCATTGTTAGCAACTGAGTTTCTGGGCATTCTTCTGATTACAAGAGAGTTATTTGTTGGTTCCTTTTTAGTTATCTGAGAGTTAAGGAAAATTGAATGGGAAATTAGAAGGATTGATGCTTTTAATGTGAAGCTGCCTGAAAATGTATTTAGTGAAGGTGCAAGTTATGTTACAATTGAAAAAGAGCCATAGTCCAGGACACTGAGCAGGCTGGGTTTTTGTTCAATATCCCCCTCAGTGTCACTGTGTGAATACCACTGTGTCATATCTGACAGTAATACTTAGCCTTATCTCCTGCATGCAGGCCAGATATTTGGAGAAACTCTGCACTTGATGATATAATCTTATGATCCAGTTAAGTGGCTGGGCACTCCAGAGCCCTAGTCCTTATCTGAGTCTGTATGGTAGTATAGAAGAAACCTAGGAGGGCTTCCTGTTTATACCACCTTATTACATAGTCCCCAATACTGAAGCCAATGCTAAGGGTGCAGGTGAGTCTCACAGAAGTTCCTGGAGATGAAGAGATGTAAGGCAGCTGAGTCACCACTGGCAAGGTGAGAGAACCTGAAAACACAAAGCCAAAGATGATGTGACACTGACAAGGGAAGGAATTCACAAAAGTATGAGAAGAAAGAGACAAAAGCAGGTTTTGAGACTGCCCAATATCTCTGAGGCTTGTGTCTACCTGTACAGTAAGAAAGAGATGTCCAGGTAAAAGTGGGCACAGACCCTGGGTTCCTTCAGTTGTGCTGAGCTGCCTCAGGCCTCCTTTTCTTTTCCCCATCTTTTCCAGGGGAGGGGCTGTTCATGCAAATATATTTCCATTATAACTGATGAGCCCCTCCTTGAGCTCTGGTGCTTGAGGTCTGCTCATATTGCAGATTGAACAAGATGAAGGTTTCTTTTCCCCCTTGACAGGACTCTGGGAGGAGACACCGGCTGAAATGAGACAAATGTCCCTCATGTGGGGACTCTGCCAAATTACAGTGGGCACAAGCTACTGATTCCTCTATAGTAGGTATATCACCAACACCCAAGCCATGATTCCTTTGAGTAAATGGTCCTTCAAGAGATTTGCATAAATTCATTAGAGTCCTATTATGCTCCCAGCTGGTCAGAGGACACACACCTCCCCATAGCCCAGAGACAAAAGAGCCCAGCTCTTTCTGCACTTCATGAGGTTATTGACTTTTTTCTTACATCCATGATCTGATACTTAAAAATGCTCTGATTTTGAGGTCCTTTGATTTGTTACTAAATACATCATTCTCACTAGGCAGGTAGAAAAATGTGTATAAATTCCCAAACAAGGTGGTAGCTTTTCTAAAATCACATTATTATTTCTACTAGATTTTCTCACAAAGATCTCAACAAGAGTTGACCATGAGCTTTTCCTGACTTCTTTAAATTTACTACACAAATACCAACTGTTCCATCTGCATTGAAGTTGTCTCTGACATTTTCCCTCTTGTTCTTGGCCATCTTGTTCTTCTCACCCTTTGAGCTCTATTCTTGAATATGTTTTCCACAGATTACCAGAGCATTTATAAAGCTCAATCATTTTTCATTGGTGTGAAGGCATTGTCTTGTGCTAATGAATTTCTTGTATCATAGAAAGTTCGTGTTGTATATTGTGTCTAGTTTCCTGTTCTTTGAGATGGGAGGATACCTGTTACCTCTCATTCCATTGTAGCTGAAGGCAATGAAATAATCTAATTTTCAGAACCTTTCTCTCAGGTTCTGAATCTCAACTGTACTCATTCCCCAAATTCCACAATATTGAACAACATTCTTCACATATACTAAACCTCTTACTTTACTCACTGAAAATTCTAATCTACCCCAGTTCTGATCTTTTCTCTGGACTTAACAGTGATCCTCTGCTCTTATGAGCTACTGATTTTGATAATTCCTATAGGGAATAAAATCCTGCACAGGTGAAAACAAAACCTAAAACTCTGCAGAATTGCATGATCTGTAATTTTTACTTACAAATTTTAATTTGTATTCTGTCATTGGCATAATATTTCTTAGGATAAAAAGTACTGTACCATCCAGAACTAAAATTTCTAAGATATTATTTTAGAAATAGTTAGGTCTTAATTGAAAATCCACTGCACTTCAGATCTTTAATCACTGGAACAAAAAACAGTGAAGCCCCCCAAACCATGAAATTTCTCTTGGTACCTTGAGACTGAGGATTAAAGGCAATCCTTTCACAGGAATTTATCATTTGTTCAACTCCTGCATTTCTCAGCCAAGGATACATTGCTGAAGTGGAGGAAGAAGCCACACAGACAAGTTTCTCTAAAATGTGATGGATTCCATGAAGTGCTCCAGAAAAACAATAGCACCACATTCATGGTGGCAGGCTTTAGAGCACAGAGGTTAGAGGACAGTGGCCTGCAGAAGGCTATAAGGATGCATAAATAGTGAGAAGGATTAAAGAGATTACATTTAATCTTGATTTAATGTCCCCATCAAACTTATGGGACCTGGATTCTTCTGACTCTCAATGTAATCCATCACCACGTGTTCAGTGAAAATCCCAAGTAACTATCCCATTACAGAACATGATAGCACATCAAGTTCAAGATTCCAAAAGCCAGAGCACTGCTGTAATAGCCGATGTGTACTCGGGGTCCTTCGGCTGAGGCCTTGCAGTGCAAGAGAGCTAGCTGTGCTACAGTTGTAATAGGTGGGACAGAGGAAGCTGGTCAGTTGAAAACTAAGCTATTTATGTTAGGTAGCTTAAAATAAGGTAGTTCTTAAATCCCTAATGTTCCTAAGGCATACTTTTCTAGCTACCCTCTGGCGCATCTGGCACCTACATCCTTGAGATTGTTCTTTTTGATCCATTCTGGATTTTTTAAAAAATAAATATGAAAAAACAAACAAACAAACAAAAAGATTCCAAAAGCCATATTCAGGGGAGTTAATTGTACATATTGGGTGCCATCTGCAAATGGGGAATCTTCAATGTCATCTGGTGTTTGCAACACTCAGACTTTATTCATATACTTGTAGGAATGTACTGAGCAGTCTTTGCAGTTCTTCTACCCTCTCATGAGAGGCAGAAGTAGGCTGAATCAGGGCAGCTGGGTGGACTTGAGTGCTATGCACCAGGATAGGTTTCACTAGATGGTCTATCCTTCAACAAAGTAAGTGGACAACAAACCATGATAGGATGATTGATAGGGAGGAAGAATCTACAGAAGTTCTGGGGAGATAAATGGCCAAGACTGAAATCAGTGTTCATGTTCCTGAAGAATTTAGAAAAAAATGAGGTTACTAGATTCTGTGTTCTGTGAGATTGTGTCCTCTCAGACTACATATGTTAAATTCCAATTCTCCAAGGTGATAGAGTCAGCAGTGGGGCCCTTTATGAGGTGGAGCTTCCTGATACTGGGCCTCTGTGTTCACTGGCAGTTCACAATCTCATTTCATTGTGGAAAAATTCTTTGCAGAGCATCATTGCAGTCACAGAGACTGCTGTACTTTAGATTCAGAATGAAGGGATAGTTTCTAGAGACAAATTGGAACTAGAAGATACAGGGGAAGGTGAGCTCATGCTTGAAGCTAGTCATTTGAGCAGCGCTTGGGACACTATGGACTCAACTGAAAAAACTGAAGTGCTCAGACAACATCCTTATGTCTTTGATTCAGGCCTTGACATTGAGCTGGTCACAGGGGGTCAATAATTTTCTTCCCCATCTATCATCTCTTTGTAGGAATACACTAAGACCTGGGAATTGATTTATTCCATAGTACACATGATCAGGGTGAGAATGCCTTAGCCAAAGACCAAACTAACATCTTAATGAAGAAAAAGAAGAGGGTTTCATATCCATAAATCCAAGGAAAAGTTGTAGCTGTATTTACAACTCAGGGTGCAGGTGAGTTTGTTTGTACTCTAGAGATAGATGAAGAAGGTGGCTGAGTCACCACAGGCTTCAAGAAGAACACTAAAAACAGATTCTCATTGGGGCTATAGTAAGGAGATAGATGAAAATGCTTGAATTCTGACTGCAGAAATACATGAGCCACTTCCTGTGCTAGACTTTGTCCCAGGCAGTGCAGCAGTGAGTGTACCAGGCAGGAAGAATGCAGGGAAACTGTTTACTCACATCTTTCTGGTCCTAAAGCACTGTGTAAGTCTTAGGTTTGCTTTTGTATATTTGACAGTATTAGCCTGAACTTTAGATTGGTGTCCAGGGATAATCAAAAACCCTGCTTTTATTGAGCAATCTTCAGGTCCAGAGGAATGATTAGAAACTCTAGAGCCCTGGTACATGCATGATTCTGAGCAGTAGTATGAGATAAATAGGGGAGAGCTCCCTGGTTTCTTCTGGCACTTACATATTCTGAAGTCACCTGTAATCAGGTTCTGGTGAGTTTGAAAGGTCCTCCAGGAGATGCATAAAGGGATGATGGCTGAGCCAGCAGAGGTTGGGAGAGGGAAACTGCAAACAACAGATAGTCTTCGGGGGTCAAGCAGGGACAAAATTGGAGCTTCTGGTGGATACAGATGAGAGGCTGTGGTCTCAGGCTGGAGAGTGGGCTGTTGATCATGTAAGCCTGTTATTCGTGGGGGAATGAGAGAAGAGCATGAGGGGTAGAGGGATACACACCATGATAGACAGTGTTTTCCTTAGTGTAGCCTAAACTTACCCAATTAAAATTTATTATAATCTCCACTGGCCCCTCAGAGAAGGGGATTTTAGTGCAAAAGAGGTCCTATCTATTACCTGACACTATACCATCACATACATTTATTTAGCACCTGGGGTGGATTGATGGGGGAGGTGGACAGGGAGGACCTGAGAGAAATCAGTGAATGGAACTGTAATGGCCCCTCTCAGAATAAATAAAACCCAATTTTCTGGTAATTTGTGGGGTGTCAGTTTTCTTATGTTGAGAGTAGAAAAAAAACCCCATAAACATAAAGATAAAATAAATTAGGGTTGTCTTCATTTACTGTTCATGTAATAAGAGTGATATAAATATATTTATAAAGACATATTCCAATGGGTTCTT